TAAAAGACTAAAAAGTTTCTTGAGGGAGAACAGGCCATTTACGAAAAAACCCCGAAGACGAACAGCTATCGGTATTATAAATGAACTGGAAGTTCTAAAAATGGTTAACGAAAATCCCCATTGCAGTCAAAGGACAATTGCAGCAACGGTTGGCGTTAGTAAAACGTCGGTGCAACGAATACTTAGTGCAAATAAATTTATTATCACTATCACCTGACTTTGATTCAAGAACTAAACCCACTGACTACCCAAAAAGATTAGCACTGGGTAATTTGTTTAGAGAAAAATACAATTTAGATCCTCGTTTCTATGATTTCGTTTTTTTTTTTCTGATGAGGCAAAATTTTCGAACAATGGTGGAGTTAATAAACATAACTGCCACTATTACGCCCAAAACAACCCTCACTGGATTAGAGAGTCACTTTCAGACAATTTATGGTGTGGGATACTCGGGAACAACATTATTGGTCCTTACTTTTTTTCGGGAAAATTTAAATGGAAATTTATATCTAAATTTTCTTCATTATACGTTACCGATACTCCTCGAAAACATTAATTTGGAAATCCGTCAAAATTTATGGTTCCACCATTTTCACAGAATTATACCAAATTACCTCGATGAAATTTTTCCTAATGGACTGGGAGAGGTTCGATTAATCCCCCCAAGCTGTGATATGACACCCATAGATTTCTTTTTGTAGGGCACAGTTAAAGAAATGGTCTACAATACTCCAATAAATAGTGTTAAGACATCCTTCTGGAATAGGATTGACGCATGTGAGAGAAACATTGATTGCATTGGTAAAAAATAAAACGTGTTTTTATCTTTCAAATTGAAGTTTTTGTCAAAACTTTTGACAAGTGTTAAGGCTACTATGTTTAGTGCTCCAGTTGTAATTTGGTATATCTAATACTATTAAACGAGCAAAGTTTGTATATATATATTTATATATATATATATATATATGTAATGGGTTTCTCGAAAACGGCTCTAACGATTTCGATGAAATTTACAGGTTAGGGGTTTTTTGGGTCAAGAAATCGATTGATCATAGTTTTAACTTCTGAAAATTACAGCTTCATGCATTTTCAGCAATTTTCAGGCAGTGAATTGTATTTGTTGCTAGGCAACATCAGATGACACTACACGAACACGAGATTGTTTTATATGAGAAGTTTGGGTGACAGTCTGACAGTACGTTTGACGTACCTTTTTATCTTCAATTGTACGTACCGAAACATACTCCACTGTATAGAGGACGTTGAAATTCACCTCCTGAGGTGAGAAAATTTACCAAAAACTAAACAGTGAGCGGATAAAAGGCACACGAAAGTGTGTTGAATTGAGATTATTTTGTCAAGCATTCATTTCAGAGGTTCCACGGTCAGTGTCAACATGTGATCGTTTTCGGGGATGGGACCGTGTTATTTGAGTTTTTGGGCTCAACGTTTCGCACACTTTCGTAAATGGCATCTTCGGGAGCAGGGTTGAGATTGAGAAATTAGGAATAACACAAAAGAGCACGGTAACTCAGTATGTTAACCACACCAGAGGCGAAACTCTTCTGGCAGTAAGAATGTGGTTGTGACCTTTTTCTAGAGTCGAGAGAGAGAACTAGGAAAAAAAAAACGACAGAGAGAAAACTTGGGTAACAAATGAGATGTCAAACAATAATTCCAGTTTTCTGTTCTTTAATCTCTACATGTCACTTATCAGTGTTTAAAACAAAGACTGCTTATGGAATTTCTTTTTTAATGTGTATTTTTAAGTAGCGCGTGTACTTCAAAATGCATACTATACGCATATTTATCTGTCCTAATCTGATCTAATACTACCAAACGAGCCGAGTGAAACTCGGTCAACCAGATATTCTAATAATATCCAAGATAGTGGTGAAAATGTATTTTGGGTTGCGTTTCAAATTTATTCAGGCTCTTTATTACTCGTGGACTACCCTGTATATCTACTATAAAATTATAACAAAATTATAACATATTCATTTTGTCTTCTGCTTCACTTTAGTGTATTAGCACTTTCACATCAGTTGGTCAATTGTCCGCTGACATCGGTCTAATCCACTGCAAATTTTTGTTGATATTTAGATAAAGTTTATTTTTTTTATTTTCCGGTATACACAAACTACATTTACTAGGTACTTGATGTATAGTTTTGTATATTTCATTGTACCCTATAACATTTTATTGGCAAAAACGAGACGGACCGTAGCACAATGGTAAGAAATATTTATGACCGACACCAATTCACTCGAATTTGTCGCAAAACATTTAGCAAGTAGTTGTACTCATGAAATAATGGTAATTTTCGTTCGTGAGTAACGCTTAGATTATTCTGCTTTCTAACATCTGGGGATTACCGGCACGCGACAATTTTAAGTTGTAAATATCTCTTGCTATTGTACTACTGTCCGTCTCGTTATTGCCAATAAAATTTTATAGGGTAAAATGAAATTTCCAAAACTATAGGTACATCTTTCAATGGTAATATCAGTTTTCATTTTTCTTCTGCCTCGAGAAACCTGGAATAATATGTTCCTGGGCTGACAAGAATATTTTTATTTAATTATCCTTGAATCTACTCAAACCACAGACAATTTAGAAAATCAAATTTTATTTTATCTAACTATACTTTGGACACATTTATTCCTTTTAATTGTTGTTTATTTCACCATTTATTGCATCTATGTATACAAATCCGTTAACTTGATCTACAACGCCATTGAGCTAAATCTAGGTACCTACGTGTTTTGGTTCGGTGAGTATTATACCTTGGTAGAGTATAGCGAAAAATATACTAAGGTTATGACTTAACTGCTACTTAACATGGGTTATTTTTTAAGACTTGGTCAAAGTGGACTGCAATAAGTCTGCCTGGCCAGACTTTCTCCTATTGTAAAAATATCTTCTATATCTGTCTGCCTAACTTACCACTGCTTGTGTTTATTGAATTTTATTAATGATCCACTGCAAACTGCTTATGAAGTCTTAGTCATAAACACACTATATCTTGAGCCAAACTATATCTAGATATCACTATATCTTTAGTCTTTGTATTTTCAGCTGCCCCCACTGCCCATAGAGCACAAACTATTTCTGCATTTCTTTGGTACATTACAGTTTACCTTATCAAACTGAATGGAAACCCTAACTTCTCTCGCTCCTACTGCATAAACACCTACTTATCACGAGTTAAATTAACCTTAATCGAACGGCGAGAAATGATATATTTTTAAATATATTTCACTTTTTCTATTATTTCTAAAAATGCAGAAACTTGTATGTATTTTTACAGTAAATTAAAAATAAAGTATGATAAGAATTAAGTATCCACTCTGTATGTATCAACGACTTTCCCTAAATTTTCATTTTGTTATTATTAATTACGTACAACTGAAAATACCCATAGTGATATGGTTCATTCAGAATTAGTTTTATCCTAAAATATATGGGAATAAGACCTTGTTCGATAGCTCTCCAACCAAAATGTTTATCCGGTTCAAAGGACCATATTTGTTGGGCGACCTTCAACTGTCTCGATATAGTACCCAAATGGGTGCGTGCTTGAATCTAACTCGAGGAACCAATTAATGTGTGTAATGTAAATTTCTACTACCTACACGACTACCTCGTGTTTATAAGTTGCTATATCTGCATCAGGAGTCTGCGACCATTTTCTCATTTACTGATTTGAAAAGTGATAAGGGTTGGGTATCCCTACCACAGCATCTGCGCAGTATACACAGATATTAAGAGATCCCATTCATGAATTTTATCATCAACCTGAAAATTGAGGAGAAAAGATTAGGTAGAGATATTGTCTGTAACTACATACCGTTCAGTTAAAAAAGTCATCAAGTTGGCTTTGATTTTTTGTAAACGTTGTGAAGTATGTCTACAATTAACCTCAAATTTAGTCGATGATGATTAATAAAACACATGCGTTTTCCTCTACGTTTTCTTCTATCAAAAAAGCAACGCCAACTTGATGACTTTTTTAAATGAACAGCCGATATATTGTGCAAAAAAATTGTTCGTTGCATTAATTGTATTCTTTAAACTGGAGTTTACATTCTGTTTTGAAATTGTTTCAAAGTTATATATTATAGGTAGGTATGTAGGTAGGAAGTTTGAAATGTAGAAAATGACTTTGATTATGTATTTATACGACAAAATTTAATTAATTAATTAATTTATTTTAAAGTTTTGAGTAATTTTTGTGTACCTATGTACTTTACTTTCGGTTGCACACAATATTCTAAGTATTATAAGTAGTATAAAAAAATAAATAAGTAGACATTTATAATTTTTCAAACAATAAAAAATTAGTACCGTACGATTAGAATGCGACATATCATTTATCTTACATACTGTTATATTATTTTTTAATTTAATTTATAATGTAATCAAATAAGAAATACTTAGAAGTATACAGTATACGTAATATCGAATAATAATTTCCTGTTACGTCGTATTTCTTAAATTCTTGACATTATAAATAATATGAAACTATACTTATCTGTAGATTTATATTTTAGAGTTTATAAACTTATACTATTCAGATACAAATATTTTAAGAGGTTAACATCAGGCTATGAATCATGTGTAATATTTCTTTAATAAGTTTGTTTTACATTTACTTGTAATTCTAAATTAAGCTCAAAGAAATAAATAACTCGTCTTTTGCAACCTTTCCCTCATTAGCGTTCTATGCAAATCGTCCTAAATGCGCTTAAAAACAAAACCGGTTTCGAAGCGTCGCTAAATTGGAGCACGTAACAATAAATTTCTTTAACTCGAGTAATTAATATTGCTATCAGATTTACTAGTAACATTGATTGAGCAAACGCGATTGGTCGCACTAGAACCAACAGACTAACTAGGGAGGAGTTTAAAACAAGAATACGCCCAAAGCATCTCTTCACCCCGAGCAGAAGTTGAGAAAGTCGCAGTAGTTTTAACGTTCAGTATCGTTGCGTCTTTTTATACGAAAGCAGTGACGTTCTAAATTGGTTAATTATCCGGTTGTAAATTACTATCAAATTAACCCGACAGCAATTTACGTCAAGTTAACAATATCCGTAGTGTAATATGATACTATAAATTTAAAAATCTACGTAGTATTACTGATACTGATTTAAAAATGGAACTACCATCTAGTGAAACGATTATTAAACCTGTAACAACAATTAGTGAAACTTTGACTAAACCTGTGCCTAAACCGTTTTCTATCGAGGCTTTAATGAGTGACAGTGGGCCTAAAAGAAGTACGAATATTGCTTGGAATTTAGCGCTACCGCAACATTATCAGTTGAACAATAGAGACACAGACTCCGATGGAAGTTTGGACATGGATCTTGCTCAAGACTTATCTAGAAGAAGCCAAAAAGAAGGTTCGTAAACAAAGAAAGGCCACTCATTTTCAAAAATCTATAAACAACAAATTGTGTTTTTTTTAAAGTAATTAGGTACATATTATTTTATTTTAGTTGCTAATAGAATTTCATTAATTAGAAAAGATTTTCATACTTACTTTCATAATTTTTATTTCTATTTTTCTTATTGATGCAAACAATCATGCCATTTCACCCTTTAATGCCATACCATAAATTTAATTAGAACAACAATTTTTACAATATGACATTACGAGTCTGTTTGTAAGGCGAGTTTGAACTTTGTTTTACTAACGTCGTTTGGTTGTTGTGAACTAATTTGCCACATCAGTTTCGCAGTTTAATTAAATAGTTTATAGCAGTTGAATTCAGGTTTGAATTTACGTCATTGGTTCAAAAATCTGTCCATTAATTATAAATCTTAAGGTTTATCATTATTTTGCATTTAAAATTAACATTTTTTTTGTTTATCTACCGAAAACAATAATTAATATAAATTTTGTGTCAATTACAGTAAAAGTAAAGTAAGTAGATACAGTAAATTTATTTAATTATATTTATGTTTCTTGAATATAGTTGTGTAGCTGTAGAATATTCATAAAATATAAAGTAAATTAAAACAAAAAATTTTGAATGCAATTTGACAAACTGATTGTTATTAACATTACTTATAGCGACTGACAATATAATTTGGACCATAACAAGTAACTATTCTGAAACTGTTTGGGACATTAGAATTTTTAGTGTTTATTTTTTTTAAACAAAGTTTCTTCGTAATTTGTTTATTTTGACTTCCAAGCACTAGACAAAGCATGTTGTCGTCAATATATTTATATGTTTGTATTTATAAAAAATATTTTTTAATAGTTTGGATCAACACACTAAAACAATGTTAGCATCATACCAAAAATTTTAAACAAATATATCTAGCTTCTTAAATAAATTTATATAATACTATTAACAAAAATTTCAGGAAAAGTGAATGAACCGGTTTTGGTTTAATCAACTAGATGTAAATAAATTTCTTCATTCTTTGGTTTTTTAAGACATCCTTTATAAACAAAAAACAAATAACATTGCATTCTTAGACATTTTTTAATAAATAATTTGACAGACGTCCTGAAATCGTTGCATCAGTGCTAGTGTTATGCTGAAATTTTTGAAACTATAAAATTTGATTTAAATAATTTTATTTTTTACAACTCATAGGCGTATCGCTAAAGAGACGCAAATATTATTTAACTCCAGGCAAAGACCTACATTATAATGCAAATTTTGAGTGAGATTTAATCTACTTAACAAAATTTTAACATGACGTCTTCAAATTTTTTGTAGGAATGAACAGACAAATTTTGATTAATGTTTTACCATCAGTGATATTCTTGAAGTACACTGAAGTTTTACAATAATCAATCCAGTAGTTACGGAGATTTTATGTTCAATACAATCGTTAGTAAGCAACAGATTATAGACAGACGATAATGAGAGGCAGATTTTCGCATTCTATAAATTTTGAAAAAAACGAAAAATTAACAGTGTGTCAAAAGGATTTTATAATAATAATTGCTTACCAAGTACAAAATACAATAAGTATATCTGCTTCAAAAAGGGATATCCTCAAATTAAACAGACCTACACCAAAGACGAACAAAAAGTTGTTTTAAATCTGGGAACGTATTTCTACTTAACTTTTGTCGGCAAAGAATAATTGACTAGAATATCCGGAAAAAAGTGTCGTTTCCTGTCTTACGCAAACAGTGCGTATATTAACAAAGGAAGCGCATCTTTTATTGCATTACTAGACTGAAAAAGAACGAATGTTATGCATGTGAATAGCTTCACGACGTAACATGTACCTACTGTGCATGTGCACTGTAGAACCAGTGTATTTGTCCTCGCTCTCAGATATATTTTTTTATTTTACAGACAACAGATTCAATCCCAAAAGGAGAAAAAGTCGCACATTTATCAGTTTTATCTCGAAGATTTCGAAGGGTGAAACATGTTAAAAAAAAATAAAATTCGCAAAATGAAATTTTGTAATTTTTCGAAAAAGCTAGATATGTTTTATTGTACTTCAGGGGCGAGGGAAGTTCTGTCGAAATAAACTTCGACCAATTTTTTTTTTAGTTTTCCATTGAATTAATCTACTTATAGGTTAGATACGTGCTTATCTGGTTATACAGCTTCCTTTTTTTACACGGATACGTGTTCGTTTCAGTTTTTAATGCCATGTGGTTTTTCGTTTTTTCTCATCGATTATTATTAATATGGGCCGTTAAAATTTCTACTAGTTAGGTACTTATCTGCATCCCAATTCTACGTTTTAATTATTAGTACCTTACTGAGATGTCAAAGGGGTCCGTCGTGTACCTTCGTTCCAAGATAAAGTTTCGTTTTATGAAGGTTATTTTTTTCATGGTGACTGGAGTGCGAAAAGTTAAAAATACCTACATATTATTAAACCGCAGATAAAGGAACATGTTATTACAATATATATAAATTTCAAGCTAGATTTAATTCTGAAAATTTTGAAATCATGCCAAATTTTTGGTGGTAAATCTTAAAGCACATTTAAAATTTCAGAGTAACTAGTCCAGTAATTTCGGACATTATTTATTTATATTTAATAACATCTTTGATACACATAAATAGAAGATACAACAGAAAAGGCAAAAATACGAGATTAAACATTCGTCACAGTACCCATATTACAATATTTCCTTGGTCTATGTCTGGGAATTAAAAATATATCTTCAGATTTCCTTATAGGGTGGCAGACTTCGTATACAAATGTCGCTGACAATGAACTTTATTAATGTCTGTAATTATAGTCGTGACTTTAATATAAATTTAGTATCACTTTTAGCAGGTATTTCCTGCAACCTTAATAGTTGTGTTTCACTTATTTTGTCAAATTGTTAATCATCGTAATAGGTTCTTGTACCAAATTGTAACGGATGTCAAGATCTACATGCACTGATTCATGGAAACTAAAAATTTCCAAGGGCGATTAGAACAGGTTCAGTAATCAAAATAAAACCAAATTTTGAAACCTAGTTATCAGTGTTTAAACTTCACTACTTCATCAACAACAAATTTCGAATTAGCTTACAGAAACTGTACATGAGTTTATGGGACGGCGAAAGAAAACCAAAATCATTCTTGGGTCCAAAAGAGTTAAATATCTTTAATAGTCAGAGGGCAGAACAAAATAAAGCGACCGCTGATGGTAATTCAAGTTTTTCAGAATTCTCTCTGTACGTTATAAGAATCCAAGGATTACGTGGTTTTATTTCAACGAATACCTACTTCACACCAATCTTAAAGGTTATTCTCAACGACTAATCAGATGTTTATAAATTTACTCTAAAACTGCGAAAAAGTACTCAGGATCGTCAACATATTTCTACAGTTTTTGACCAATCCCACAAAACATTAGAACCATGTAAACAAGAAAATCATCAGTTGAATATCTGCCTACCATTATCTGGTTCTTAAACTCACTTTCTCACCTGTTTCATCATTCTCAGTTTTATAGTACCTATTATTTATAGCGAAATGCTAAATGCTTACATTCTAAGGTTATTAAGTTTTATAGAAATGTTTGTGTGAATATGCAAACTACGATCTAATACCATTATAATAAAATTGGCTGACCACTGATATTATTGACTATAAGTTTTATCCGCGTGATTTTGTGAAGTATAATAATGATAATGTTACGTATTTGTGCTAATACAAAAGTGCTAACACCCGTTGTTAAGTTTGATGGATTATGAATAAGAGCAGCGGACAGTCGTTTTTATAGTTTTATTAAATAAATAACAAGTGTGTTCTAGAGCGAGTATGATATTATGACCGTTAGGTCCAGAGATTGAATATAAAGACTATGTTAACCGCTTAAGGAGTGCTTGAAGAGTCAATGATGAATAGTGAATGAATGTTCCCTGTATTCGAAGGTGGTGGTGGCCCTGGCTCCCACCCTTACGGGTGGAGAGGGGTGAAACAGGTCCCCGCTAGAGGCACTAACATACCCCCCACCTTGAAACAATTACACTGTTTTAATACCAAAATAATAGAATGTTAGAGTGGTAACATGATATCGTAATGATCAATTCGAATCAGAATACATGAGTAAGATTTACTACAATTAACATTGTATAGAATGGATTCACAGTGATTATACAATATGGGCAATAAACTAAGAATAGCGATTTACAACACTTGCCCACATACAATAAGAATGAATTACTTATACATGGAATACACCTGAAAGAGAGATTTACAACTCTTTATCAGGTACAATACGAGTGGAAAAACTTTATTTACAATAGTGTGTAGATAACCAAAACCCGTATTAGTAAATGGAAATGCCGTTTCCGAATTGGCGCACTTTATGATGCAATTTCGACACTGCACAAACACTACGCGAACAAGATCGTCTTTGCCCCGATGCACTTGCACTATTCGTTGTAATCGCCACCGCAACGGGAGCCGGTTGTCTTCTTTGATCGGTAGTACCAGCGCTCCAGTGCCGGGAACGTTTCTTGAGAGGGTTTGCCACCTGGATCTCCCCTGCAGCGCTTCCAGAAATGTTGGAGGCAGGATTCACTCAATTGCCAACGGGAAAGGATGTTGACAGGAATAGTAGTGTATTCCTTTTCTACTGGAGTTGTCAATGGATGGCCAACAAGACAATGGCCCGGAGTCAGTGCGGCTGAATTAGTAACGTCGATGGAAAGCGGCGTCACAGGGTGCGAATTCAGGACAGCTTCAATCCTGACCAAAAGCGCATACATCATCTCGTACGTTAGATGGTTGTATCCGATAATGCGCTGGCTGTGAGTTTTTACGGATTTAATCCACGCTACCCACAAACCACCAAAATTGGGCCCACGCGGAGGAATTAAACTCCATTTGATATTTTCTGGTTTTAGCTTATTCTGAAATTCTTTCCCTAATAGCAATTCGCTTAGCTTGCGCTTAGTACCTACGAA